ATCAGACAAAACAACCTTTAAGCTATCAAAATTTAAAAACACATGCAAAAGGACACTACATAATAATAAAAGTTCAACCCAACAACAAGAAACAGTCATTCTAAACATATATGCACCCAACCTAGGGGCACCAGCATTTATAAAGCTACTACTTAATAAACTAAAAAAATACATTGACTCTATTATTAATACTTTTTTATTTTAAAATTGTGGGGTACAGTTGTGTTACATATACAAATATGCATTGTGCAGGTGCCATTCTTGATGACCTTTGCCCCCCATTCCCAGACAGATATTGAGTACCGTTAATCACACCTCCCTTTCCCCTTTCCTCCTATCGTTTCTCAACAATATTATAGGAGTGTACTTGAATACCCCACTTACAGCCCTAGATAGATCATTGAGGAAAAAAAAAAACAAGGATATCCAGAACCTAAGCTTGACTCTCGACCAAATGCCCTTAATAGATACCTACAGATTATTCTACCCAACAACTAGAGAAAACACATTCTACTCCTCACCACATTAAACATACTCTAAAATCAATCACACCCTTTATCATAGATCAAGCATAAACAAATTTCATAGGCTGGAATCTTGCCATGCACATTTTCAGACCACAGGGGAATAAAAATAAATATTGACACCAACAACATTTCACCAATGTCCAGAAGGACATAGACACTAAACAGGATGATGCTGCACAACTACTGGGTCAACTCTGAAATCAAAGCATAAAATAAAAGGTTTCTGGAAATAAATGAAAGTGAAGAAACATCTTACCAATACCTCTGGGATGGCATGAAATCAGTTCTTAGAGGGGAATTTATCTCTCTATGAGTTCACAAAAAGAAAACAGAAAGATCACATTTGGAGAGCCAAAAACACCCCTAGGGCAGCTGGAAAGAGAAGACCACCAAAACCTCAACTTTAGCAGAAGGATCCAAATCACAAAAATAAGAGTCCAAATACGGGACATAGAAGGAAAAACAAAAATCATATAAATCATCAGCAAAACAAAAAACTGGATCTTTGAAAGAATTAACAACATCGATGGGCCCATAGCCACAATGGCCAAGAAAAAGAGAGAAAATGCCCAAATAAACACAATCAGAAATACAAAAGATCAAATCAAAACTGATGCTTAAGAAATGTAAAAGATTATTAGAGATTACTATGTACACCTTTACAGAAACAAACTTGATAACCTAAATGAAATGGAGGACTTTCTGACATCACAAAATCTCCCCAGGTTGAAACAAGAAGACATTGAGACACTCAATAGACCTATGACAACCCAGGAAATTTACTCTGTTACAAGAAAACTACTTCCAAAAAAAGGGTAAGACAGAATAGATTTCCAGCAGCATTCTATAAAATGTAAAAGAAGGAGCTGATACCAATACTACTAAATTTTCCCCTAATCATTTCACAGAGTTAATATCACACTGATACCCAAATCTGGTAAAGATCGCCCCCACCCAGAAAAGCACTATATGTCAATATAACTTATGAACATAGATGCAAATGTCCTCAACAATATTTGAGGAAATTGGATCCAAAAACACGTGTGAAAAAAAGAAACTCCATGGCCAAGTAAGATTCACCCTTGGGAAGCTGGGCTGATCCAACATTTGAAAGACCATAAATGTAATTAAATACATTAACAGATGTTAAAAAACAAGAACCACACGTTTATCTCCATTAAATGCATAGAAAGCTTTTGATATAATAAATCATTGCTTCTTGATAAAAAACCCTCAAAGATTTAGCTATATAAGGAACATGTCTCAAAATAGTAAGTGCCATCTACGATAAACCCACAGCTGCCATATTGCTAAATGGACAGAAACTGGAAACATTTCCCCTGAAAACTAGAAGACAAGGCTGCCCACTCTCACCCCCCTTGTTCAACATTGTGTCAGCAGTCCAGGCTTGGTCAATTAGACAAGATAAGGAAATGAAGGGAATCCAAGTAGGAAAAGAGGGAGTCAAGTTATCCCTCTTTGTTGATAATATGATCCTATACCTGGAAAGTTCAAGTGAATCTGTCAAAAACATGTTTGCGCTGATAAAAGACGTTTGCAAAGTCTAAAGGTAAAAAATAATCTTGCAAAAGATAGCTGCATTCCTATACACCAACAACAAGCAGGGAGAGACCCAAATTAAAAGCACAATTCCATTCAAAATATCCAAATAATAAACGAAATACCTCAGAGTCTTCCTATCCTCAGAAGTGGAAATCTTTACTATGAGAACTACAAAATGCTACACAAAGAAATCCAAGAAGACACAAAAATATCCCATGCTCAAGAATAAGAAGAATCAACATTGTTAAAATGAACATCCCACCAAAGGCAATTTACACATTCAATGAAATACCCATATAGTTACCAACATCATTCTTCTCAAGTTGAGAAATTCATATGGGAACACAAATGACCACGAATAGCCAAAAAGATCCTTAACAATAGAAACAAATGGGGAGGTATCACACTTCCAGACTTCAAACTTTACTATAAGACTGCAGTAATCAAAAGAGCCTGGTATTGCTACAAGAACAGGCACAGCCAGGCTCGGTGGTTCAGCCTGTAATCCCGTGCCTTTGGGAGGCTGAGTTGAGTGGATTGCCTGAGCCCACGGGTTCAAGACCCGTCTGGGCAGGCGAGACCTCATCTCTACAATAAAATAAAAAAATTAGCCGGGCGTGGTAACGCGCACCTGTAATTCTGGCTACTTGGAAGGCTGAGGCAGAAGGATCGCCGGAGCCCAGCAGGTCGAGGCTGTGGTGGCTGGGAGCAGCCACTGCACTCCAGTCGGGGCTACAGAGTGAGACTCCAACTAAAAAAAAAAAAAATAGAACAGGCACAAAAACCAATGGAACAGGATATACATTCTGGAAGCAAAGCCTCAATTCTTCAACCAATTCATCTTTGACAAAGCCTCCAACAACAACCACTGGGGATAAGAGAATCCATTCAGTAAATGGTGCTGGGAAAACTGACTGACCAAATGGTGAGGATCAAAACAGGAACCCTACCTCTCCCCATAGATAAAAATTAACTCTAAATGGATCAAAGACCTAAACTTAAAACCTCAAACTATAAGAATTTTAGAAAAAAAAGTAGACACCCTTATGGAAATTGAAATTGGCAAACAATTCTTATTCAGAACCCTAAAGGCCAATACCTTAAGAAATAAGACAGGCAAGTTGGACCTCATTAAACTAATCATCTTCGGCAACCAAAAGAATCCACCAAGAGAGCAGGGATACAGCCCACAGAATGGGAAAAAAATTGCCAACTGTATATCTGAAAAAGGACTAGCATCTAAGATCTACCAGGAACTCGAACGTGCCTAAAGGAAAACAAACAAACAAACAAACAGCCCCATTAGAAAGTGGGCAAAACACATGAATAGACGTTTCTCAAAAAAAGATATATAGGTAGCCAACAGACACATGAAGAAGTGCTCAGTCTCACTCATAAGAGAAATGCACATCAAAACCACATTGAGATACCACCTAACCTCAATAGGAGTGGCTATCATTAAGAAAAACAAACAACAAGAGATGCTGGCACGGATGTGGCATAAAGGGAACCCATCTACACCTCTGGTGAGAACGCACATTAATGCAACCTAATTGGAAAACAGGGTGGTGATTTCTGAAAGAATGAGAAATTGACCTTCCATATGACCCAGCAATATCCTATTGGGAATATACCCAGAGGAACACAAATCTTTCTTAAAAAAAAAGACACCTGCACACGTATGTTTGTTGCAGCTTTATTCCCAATTGCAAAAACATGGAACTAGCCATGTTGCCCATCAAAGCAGGACTGGATAAAAAATTGTGGTACATTTACACAATGGAATATTGTAGAGCCATAATGAAAGACAGACGTATGGACATCGCAGTAACTTGATGGATTTGGAGTCGTTCATACTCGGTGATCTAACCTATCACAGTAACAAAGAACAGAGTATCATAAATTCTCACTCATAAGCAGATGTTGAACAATTAAATGCAATAATAAGGGGATTGGAAGTAGCCAGAAACTCTCAGAGGATGGGTTTGCGACTGGCAGTTGAGGGAAACTCCTAACGGAGGGGGTGTCATACCTCATTAACAAGGATAACTGCATAATCAACGTTTGTATACCTAATCCTGAATTATACTCCACACTTTAAAAGAAAAAAAGACAAATTTTCAAATTTATTCTCCAATATTAGGCTCTATTCTATGAAAACACAGCACAATATTTTAAAACACTCATCCATTACGTCAAAACTTCCAAGACTGTATTAAGGTTGATTTCTTACAAACTATTCCCAAAATCCTGTTTGTAGTCATCAATCTGGATTACTTTTTGCAGAAACATTGGACATAGGCAACGTCTAAACCTTACTGATAGTGACTAACTGTACAATGTTGACAACAAATGCAGCAGAGACTCCAGTGTGTCAATTCTTAGGACTTTAAAGAAAAAATGAATAGGGGTACATATTTGCTTTGTCATAATTATTTTAGGCATCAAGGACCCATAAAAATGTCAGCATCATTCCAGGCTTGGGACAGTCGTGTCTGTGCACCTCCTAACAGAAGTAATTTGTGGTAAGTTTAGGATGGTCTTTGTGCAATGCTGTGGTTTTACAGTCTTTTCAGATAGTTCTTGTTAATCAGGAATATGTATCGGGATCTCTTTCTTCATGGCTTTGCATGATTCCATGTGTCAGGATTTTAACACAATTGACTCCATTTGGATTCTGACCACATGCTCAAGGTCTTCCTAAATTTACTGGTGAGAAAGGTGACACTGTTCCGGTTTGCACAGCTCAGGTCAATTCCACATCCACACACCACTTTGAACAAATAATCTCTAGATACTGTCTCAATCAGAAAATTCTAAAGAAGTCCCTGCCCTGAGATCACTGGAAACAACAACCTGTTCTCCCTGGGCTTCCTCAGGACTCTCACCATGGAGACAGTGGTTAAGGTGTTACCTTCTCTCTGAGTAGAAATTTGAATTTTGAGTCTGTGAGAGACAATATATCCTCATATTACAATGTCCTCTTTTCTACTTAGAGATCACTTTGGCAGGAACAGAAATCTAAAATTAGAGAGGTTCCCTGGAGAAACTCTCAGGTGGCGAGGAATTCACAAACCCTGAAAGGAAACCAGCCCTTAATCTCCATTTGCAGCTGCCTCTGGGCTTGATTATGATCAGTGAATCCTGCCTATCACCTCCAGTTGATTTCAGCCCAAAGTTCATTTAGGGAAGTTTGTGTCTAGGCTCACTCTGACATCTCCTTATTGTGCCCCTCACACAGCAATATATGACTGTGTCCTCAGTTTTCAGACTGTGAATTAGCAGATTCAGCAAGTTCTTGGCATTGTCTCTGGAGATGGTGAATCGACCCTTCATGGAGTCTGCATAGTATGTTTTTTTACCATCATACCTGATGGATGAGACCCACTCAAGCCCCTTCTGTGGAGCCTGGCAGACCCAACCCATGCGATGATCACTGTATGTGAATCCAGAGGCCTTACAGGAAAGTTTTAGGTATCCCCCAGGCTGTACCAACCCTCCCCCAGACTCCACCAGCTGCACATCACAATGGACTCCTGTAAACACAGAGATGTCTTGATTAGAAACTGCAACAAAAGTCTCCTGTTTCTCTCATTCATTTCCACTCACAAAATCAATATATACAGTTTTCCATTAATTACCTTTTAAAACAGCAACAAGGAAAACCCAGCTGAGAATAAACTCCATGGTGAGTCATCTGTGTTCAGTCCTTGTCTCTGAATGGGAACACCTGGGAATCCCAGGGCTTGGGCTCCTCTCCCTCTGAGCATCAAGGGCCTCAGCCGTAGGATTTAGATGAATGGAAAATTCACAATTTTCAAGGAAAAGAAGGAAAGGGAGGCTTGAGATAAAGTCTTGAAATGAGAAAAATATGTATTACCCATTAAAAAAAAAAAAGGACATTGGACCAATTCTGAGTTGTTTGCACAGTTTCAAAAAGAAAAGAAAGTAATATGTGACATCATTTAGACTTTTAAGGACACTGGCCCTGCTCCAATCTATCTATGGGCTCAAATCTGACTCATATACTCTATTATACTCAGGGAATTTCACTGAGTTTCCTGCATGGATCTCTTAGAATACTCCCCACATTGCCAGGGCTTCCTCAGGAGATTGGTCCTGTTGCCATGGGAGTGTTTGTCCAGGGATAACTCCAGTCTCTGACTTTGGTACAAGTGAGAATGTGTTCTGCATATACAAATAAGAAAACAGACACCAATGTTGCATATTTGTGGTTGTCAAATTTTACTACAGAATTGCAAATCCAGACAGATTCTACAGGAACAGATGGGAAGGCAGCTCACCAGTTGCATGTAACCAACCCTCAACAACCCTCTTCTGCTCCTGAAGATGACTTAATGCCCAGTGGTCTGTCGCCCTCTCGTGGTTGGGAATCCCAGCAGGAAAAATTGTGTCTGAGCTCTCTCTGAATTGCCCTCGCTCTGTCTCTAGTACAGTAATAAATAGCGAAGTCCTCAAGTTTCAGACTATTCATTTTTAGATACAGTGTGTTCTGGGAATTGTCCCTTGCTATGGTGAATCTGCCTTGCAGAAATGCAGCGTATTCTGCCATGTAACTATGTGCTTTGTTTATTTTTATTTCTTTTTTCTAAATGAGTAAGTGAGAATTTATTAGAAGACAGAAAAGTTCCCAGAAGTTGAAGGTAAACTAAATAGGGTAGCTGAAACTTTGTTTCTTATCAAAATAAACCACTCCAGCCCTTTCCCTGGAACCTGGTGAACTCATTCCGTGTAATAGTCACTGAATGTGAATCCAGAGACTGCACATGTGAGTCTTGGGGGACTTCATGCTGTAACAAGTCTCCTTGATTCCACTAGCTGAACCTCACACAGGACTTCTGCAAACATAGAGATGACCTGTTCAAACTGTCAAGTATATAATGTTTCTTTTCCTTCTTCCAGTCACACACTCAGTACCTTGAGTCTTCATGCCACAGTCATTAAAACATCATCAAAGAAAACTCAGCACTGCCCAAATTCCATGGTGAAACACCTGTCTTCATTTCTGATTTCCAAATGGCAACATCTGAGAATCTCACGACTGGGGCTTCTCTCCCAGAGCTGCAGAGTCAGAAATGACCTGGTTTTCATTGGCAGAGGGAGGACCCTATTTGCACTCCTTGTAATAGAAAGTCCTGAACTGTGACGCCTCACAAAGGGAAGAGCCCAAAGCAGACAGGAGTGATTATACTGTGATAAGTACTTAACACCCATTGTGCTATTTGATTTATAGATGCATACAGATAATGTTTATAGGAGTAATATTTCCTTCTACTACAGATTTACAAGTAACCCAGTGTTTGAAGGGACTATGCAGTGTGTCCAAGAGCTACATGTCGTGAGAATTACTCTCAGGATCTGGGCCTATGCTCCTCAGTTCCGGACTCAGTTGCTTTGTGATCCAACTCCAGAATGGACTTAGGTGTGCACAGTTAGCTTTGTAAAACTGTTCTCTTTTAATAAGAACATGAAGTACTTTAAATGTACTCTTGCATATACATAAAATACTTGTAGAAATTGTCCAGTTCATGAACATGCAAGTCCATGCAAATGTGTTATCAGGAGTCTGATGTCATATGCATTATTCTACATCTGTCCATCACTTGTTCTGTATTTATTCACTTGGTATGTGTTCTAACTCAAATACCATGTAACTGACATATAATAAGTTTCAGATACTATTGTGTTAAGTTGATAAACATTGACATAACCATCATGACTCTCAAGATGTCAAACATGTAATTTCACTTGTATACTTTCTCTAGTTCTTCTGTATATTTCTCCTCTTCCACTTCCTTTCTCTCAGTTCTCACTAGGCATTTACTTATCTTTGTTGTGATACTTTAGATGAATTTTCAGTTTTTAAGATTTAAAAGGTCAAATTATAAAGACTATCCTTTTACTTTCTGTTATATTTTGATTGGCAAAAATATCTCTACATCCAGCCATGCTGTAGTATGTATCAAACACTCAATATTCTTAATAATGAATCAAATTCAAGTGAATGAATAGATCAATATTTTACTGCAGATTAAGCTGTTGATTGAAACATGGATTTTTCCAATTTATTCATTTTATAAATAAATCTACTAATCAACTTGGTGTATTAGGCAGCAGATAAAACAGCTATTTTTTTTAAAATAAACAATAGCAATGACAAAATAGTTATCAACTTTCACGAAAAACAACAAAACTGGAAGGCTGTAGATTCACATATTTTCTTTGCTACTTCAGTTAACTGAAGTGACTTTTCCCAGAACAAAACTGAAATCTGTAGAAAGACAAACCCTTGCAGGATAAAACAGGCCCAGAGTATCAGCCTATTAGTTTATTCTGGACAGAGGCCTCCAGATCTCATGTAGACTGGGACAAGCAATCTTTTTTTTAATTTTTAATCAATATTTTTATTATGATATTGGGGGATACAGTTAAGGGTTAAAAATATAGTTCATGCATGCACCCTTATTGATAAAAGGTGTCTCCTTGATGCAGACAGATATTTATTACCATTAATCCCATCTCCCTTCCCCTCTCCCCCTATAGTATCCCACCACTGTCAGTCATTTTCTTATAGTATTACATTGGAGATTCAAGGTCCTCTTTATCAGTGAGAACATGAGATACTCAGATCTTTGTTTCTGTGAGAGGTCACTCAGTATTATAGACTTTAGTTCCATCCAGGTTGCTGTGAAATTCATACTTTTGTTCTTTTTTATGGCTGTGTAGTATTCCATCCCGTATATGTAGCACATTTTTTTGATCCAGTCCTCTTTTGATGGACAGCATGGTTGCTTCCAGGTTCTTGCTATTGTGAATGATGCTGCGATAAACATACGGGTGAAGGTATCTTTTCTATAGAGTGATTTGAGTTCTTCAGGGTATATTCCCAGTAGGGGGATTGCAGGGTCATATGGGAGGTCAATATTTAGAGCTTTTAGGAATCACCATACTGTTTCCACAGAATTTGCACTAGTTTGCACTCCCACCAACAGTATAGAAGTGTTCCCTGTTTGCCACACCCTGTCCAGCAACTGAAATTTTTTGAGTTAATGATAATTGCCATTCTGACTTGAGTTAGGTGGTATCGTAAGGTGGTTTTGATTTGCATCTCCCTGATGATTAGTGAGGTTGAACATTTCCTCATATGTCTGTTGGCTGCTCGGATGTCTTCCTTTGAGGAGTGTCTGTTCATATCTTTTGCCCATTTTATAATGGGTTTTTTTTTTCTTTTCAGCACGTTTGAGTTTCTTGTAGATTCAAGATGTTAAGCTTTTGTCAGACCTGAAGTTGGCAAATACTTTTTCCCAGTCTGTAGGCTGTATCCCTGCTGTCTTGATGGTTTCTTTGGCTTTGTAGTAGCTTGTCAGTTTAATGAGGTCCCACTTGTCTATCTTATCTCGTATGGCCTGTGGGTTTTGAGTTTTGTTCAGGAATTGGATGCCAGTTCCAATTTCCATGAGGTTTTGTCCTTCATTTTCGAAGGTTATTATGGTTTGAGGTTTTACATTTAGGTCTCTGATTCATTTAGAGTTAATTTTTGTGTATGGGAAGAGATACAGGTCCTGTTTCAGTCTTCTACATTTGTTCAGCCAGTTTTCCCAGCACCATTTACTGAATTGGTTCTGCTTTCCCCAGTGATAGGTGATGGAAGCTTTGTCGAAGATGAGTTGGTTGAGAAATTGAGGTTTTGCTTCTGGAATCTCAATTCTATTGCATAGGTCTATATGCCTGTTCCTGTACCAATACCAAGTTGTTTTGATTATAGTAGCTTTATAATAAAGTTTGAAGTCTGGTAATGTGATACCACCTGCTTTGCTTTTTTTTTGTTGTTGTTGTTTGTTTGTTTGTTTGCTGAGGATTGTTCTAGCTATTCTTGGTCGTTTATGTTTCCGTATGAATTCCTTTGTTGTTTTTCTAGGTCTGAGAAGAATGTTGCTGGTAATTTGATGGGCATTGCATTAAATCTGCAGATTGCCTTACGTAAGATGGACATCTTCGCAATGTTGATTCTTCCAATTCATGAGCATGGGATATTTTCCCACTTGTTTGTGTCATCTTTGATTCCTTTGAGCAGTGTTTTGAAGTTTTCATTGTAAAGACTTTCACATTTCTGGTTAGGAAGATGCTAAGGTATTTCACTTTTTTGTGGCTATTGTGAATGGAATTGTGCTTTTTATTTGGGTTTCTGTTTGTTTATTATTGGTGTAAAGAAATGCGATTGTCTTTTGCACATTTATTCTATATCCTAAGAGTTTGCCAAAGTTCTTTATCAGTGTAAGGAGGTTTTAGAGAGATTCTCTTGAGTTTTCAAGGTACACAATCATGTCATCTGCAAAGAGAGATAGCTTGACTTCTTATTTTCCTATTTGAATACCCCTGCTTGCCTTCTCTTCTCTGATTGCTCTAGCCAGGATTTCCAATACTATATTGAACAGGAGGGGTGAGAGTGGGCATCCTTGTCTTTTTCCAGGTTTCAGCGGATATGTTTCCAGTTTTTGTCCATTCAGGAGCATGCTGTATGCTGGCTGTGGGTTTCTCATAGATGGCTTTTACTATTTTGAGGTATGTTCCCTGTATGACTATATGTTCGTGGGTTTTTATCAAGAATTGGTGCTGGATTTTATCAAAAGCTTTTTCTGCATCTAATGATATAATCATGTGGTTTT